CACCACGTGGCCGGGGGCGGCGCTTGCCTGCTGGGGGTGGGGCGGGACGCGGGGAAATGTTTTATCTGCAGCCCCTGGAAACGCGCCGCGGCCCGGCCTCGCTCTAGGGCCGGAGAATCCCTGTTCGGCGCCTGCCCCCAATATTGGGGAGCCTGCCCTGGATTTCTACCCCCACCCCCACTCCCTGGGGCCTGGCCACTCAAAATCTATTTGGACACCCCCCCATGTGTGGTAAATGTGGAGACTTGGGTGCGACATTAGTGGTTTTACATTTTTTCCCCAATATTGGGGAGCCTGCCCTGGATTTCTACCCCCACCCCCACTCCCTGGGGCCTGGCCACTCAAAATCTATTTGGACACCCCCCCATGTGTGGTAAATGTGGAGACTTGGGTGCGACATTAGTGGTTTTACATTTTTTCCCTTCTCACTTGGATGTGTTTGTGGAGGGAAGTTGATGCATGAAATTGCAAGGGAGGCAAAATCTGTGCAGGGGCGATACTGTATGGGTGGGGAGATTGCACAACTGGCTGCAGGGCCAAGAGAGGGGCTGAAGGGTAAAATGGGGACAGGCAGAAGGGTTAAGAACCAGCCTCTGCCAGAAAATAAAAAATACCTTAGTCAAGGTGGTGGTGATGGGAGACATTTGGGCTGTGTCTCGACTGCATCTCTTTTCCGTAAAAGGGATGCAAATTAGACACATTGCAATTGCAAATGAAGCAGGGATTTAAACCCCCCGCTTCATTTGCATAAACATGGCTGCTGCTTTTTTCCGGCTCGGAGCTTTGCCGGAAAAAAGCACCAGTCTAGACGGGTATCTTTTGGAAAATAAAGCCTTTTCCAAAAGATCTTTTATTCCTCTTAAAATAAGGAATAAGGGATCTTTCAGAAAAGGCTTTATTTTCCGAAAGATCCCCGTCTAGACTGGCGCTTTTTTCCGGCAAAGCTCCGAGCTGGGAAAAAGCGGCAGCCATGTTTATGCAAATGAAGCGGGGGGATTTAAATCCCCGCTTCATTTGCAATTGTGATGTGTCGCATCCCTTTTATGGAAAAGGGATGCAGTCGAGACATAACCTTGCAGTGTTAGCAAAAGTACAGAAGAGGGGACAGAAGATTCGCCCCTTCCCTTAAGCCAGAATAGGGAGTGGCAGGACCTGCTTCTCAGCACTGGCATCTCTTCCTACCTGAGAGGTGGGTGAGATTCAGTGACTGGGGACTACCTGGGAGAGCCACTGTTTTGCCTCCTGCCCAGCACTCTAGTTAGGGAGCAGATATCCCTGGCTAAAGGGATGGCTGGATTTAAGCCCGGCTGCAGGATCCTGGCTTGTTCTTAAAAATGGGTGAATTGTCCCGTATTTCTTTTCTCCCTCCCCATCAGTGCTGGAAGATCCGGGTGCTGCCATATCCCTGCTCCCCAGCTGCCTGCCCACCAACAGGAAGTGGAGATTCAGTGGCTGATTCCCCCCAGCTGCTCCATCTGTGCAGCCTCTGCTGGGTGTATGTATTTAGAACAATGTTTTCTCCTGCCCCCTCATATCGCCCCTCTGCTTACACTACATGGTCCCTGGCCTGCCTGGATCTAGCCCCTAAAGCTTGGGGACCCCCCAGATATTGGGGAGCCTGCCCCGGCTTTCTAGTCTCCCCGCTATCTGCAGCATACAAAATCTAGTAGGCTGGACCTTCCCTCTTCCCTTTGCCCCCCCCCTCGTGTGGTGAATGTGGGGAGTCAGAGCCCACGTCAATGAGGGGTTTTGTTTCTTGGTTTTGTTTTTTGTTTTGCTTTTCACTTGAATGCCCCGACTCCAAATTTTTTTTACTGGGGAAGCAAAGTTTGTGCAGAGGTCAAACTGACCATGTGGGTGAGGAGATCCCACAACTGGCTGCAGAGCCAAGAGAGGGGCCAAAGGGTAAAATTGGGACAGACAGACAGACAGGGTTAAGAACAGGATCTGGGCCCTGCCAGAAAAAAATGCGGTAGGGCAGGGGCATTTGCAGTGTTTGTAAAAATATGGGAGAAGAAACAGAAAGTTTTTCCCCCTGCCAGGATGGGGGGTGATAGCACCCACTTCCCGGCACTGTGTAGGTGGCGAGTGATTGGAGATGGTGCCTCTTCCCTGCCTGAGAGGTGGGTGCTGCCCAAGGGGTGAGATTCAGCGGCTGGGGGGTTGCCTGTGAGAGCTGTTGTTTTGCCTCCTGCCCAGCACTCTGGTTTCTGAGCAGATGTCTTGTGTTAAAGGCCCATGTCCCCGGACGCTTCATCCCCTCTCCTCCATCCCTGCTTGCAGGCCGGCAGCTGGGTTTCCCCAGCTGGCCTGTCTCCCTGCAAAGCAGTGGAGGGTTTGCTGCTTGCTGTGCCGTTACCCACCGACTCCCCTCGCCAGACGCAGACCCGTCACAGCCCCCTTATAGTACCTCTTGGTACTCTGCCACAGGAAGTAGTCTGCCACTTGATTTTTTTATCATGTTATTTTGGGGACGGTCATGTTATTTAAAAAAGTTCCCCCCCAAAAAATCATGCTATCGTGAAAAAGTGTTAAGTGGGCACATGTTAAACGAGTAATTACTGTACTTCTAACCACATTTTTCAGTGCTAGTTTCTGTGTGCTACATCTAGTGTTGCAATACATTCCAATGAGGCTCTTCTCCTACCAGGCTGCAGAACATCCATGTCTTCCCCCGGCCTGCAGAGCCAGGGACAGGAAGTGGCTGTGGCAGAGCTGGTGAGCTTCGAGGAGGTGGCTGTGTATTTCTCTGAGGAGGAATGGGCTCTGCTGGACCTGGGTCAGAGAGCCCTCTACTGGGATGCGATGCAGGAGAATTACGAGGCTGTAAGCTGGCTGGGTAAGGATTCCTGTCCCCTTGGATATGAGAACCTGGGTGGGCTCTGGAGCAGCTGGGCTGGGTTTGGTTCAGGGTCCCTCCTTGCCCCTGCTCCCCACTGTCAGGAGTATCTCCCCCAATAATCCTGGCTCCTGTGTGATACTGTCCCCTCCATACCTGCTTCCAGGAGAAGCAGGTTCAAGGACATAACAATGGTGCTGCATTTCCCACAGCCAAGGTCTCATTGTGCTTCTCCACTATCTTGCCCATGTTGTGCCTTGGCCGGAGGTGTGAGTGGAAGGACTCA